GGAGGCTGAGGCAGGAGACTCGCTTGAGTCCAGGAGTTGGAGGTTGCTGTGAGTGTGATGCCATGGCACTCTACCCAGGGGGATGGCTTGAGGCTCCATCTCAAAAAAAAAAACAGTAAAACTTATTTATACTTTTTTACCCACTGTCCTGAATAATTGAAACAAGAGCTTAAAAGCCAGTTACAAACTGTATCAGTTTTATTCCGTTTTTAGTATTGGAAGAGATGGGAAAGGCACTGTGATTTCATTCATCCATCCAGTTAGTGACTGTGTCATGGGCATTTATCATGCATCGTGATGCAGAAAGAAGGGGGCTTCTGGCCCCAAGCAGCTTGCGGTCTGATTCTAGGGCATTTGAGGGATAGGTACATGAGTCCCAGGAACAGCTAAACACCAAGACAGGCCATATTTTATCATACAAATTGTATGTTCTGTAGCAACTGGAGGTGGGAGCCTCCCAGAAGGTCTCCTGGAGTAAGATGTGGGATTAATAAAAGATGAAGGGATTAAGTGTGGCGGGGAGAGTCTCAGGCCTACATGCAGACAAAGCTCTCAGGGTGTCAGGTAGTATAAAGCACAGGCCTACCTGTGGTGGACAGTGCAGCCAGGAGTCCCAGGGGACGTCTCCAGGTGGCAGGGACCGTCTCCAGGTGGCAGGGACCTTCATCCTCACGAGAACTGTTTCCAGTGGGCCAGGTAATCCACTAGGACGCACTGTGGGCTCTCACTGGGGAGAAACTCAAAGCCGGGTGGTAAATGGTGCTCTGTGAAGCTGCCTCCACTCAGGGGGGTCTGCTTTGATGTGTTTTCTACATAGGGGAATCCAACAAAAGATGTTCCTTAAAAAGTGTTCATCAACATTTTAGGAAGTTTTTAAAAGGCTTTTAAGAGAAGTACCCTCCCCATCCCCTACCTGTGTTTTTGAATAGCGTTTCTCAGAGGGTGACCCTTGGACCACTTGTATGGAAATCACCAAGGGGAACTTGCTAAACTGGGCCGCAGCCCACAGCTCCCACATCGGCCACGCTGGGAGGGGACCCAGATATTGGTACTTTTAACAAGGTCATCACCAGAAGTTTTTACGCACAAACTGACCCAGAGGATTGGAGGTGACGCTTGAACCAGAATCTCTATCCCACTGCCGTCCATCCTGTGTCTCTTCTTTGGAGGGCACAGCGAGACGATAGCCTAAGAAATGGGGAACACGCGCATGTCAGGGTTCCATTTTAGTGCATGTATGTCTCCATCACTTAGTCTGTACACTTCCTAGAAGTTAAGTACCTTAATACAGGCAGGTGGAAGCAGATCTCTGCGATGGAACTGATGGGGCCCACAGAGCTTGGCCTCTTCTGTCTTCCCTTCCTGCCCCTAAGGAACCCCAGGATTAATGGAACATCACTTGGAAACCACCATTCTTAAGTAGGGGGAAGATGTCTTACGGTGCTGTCAGGAGAGGAATACCAGAGGAAGTTTTAATGAGCACTTACTGTGTGCCGAGGGCTTTACAGGACATCCTCTTAGATAATTCACACAGCAGCCCTATATGGAGCTGTTATCCCCCCCTATCACAGAGATGAAGGGGCAGAGTCTCAGAGGACAGATTAAGTGCCCTCTCCAAAGTCTCACAGTGAGTGGCAGAGCCTGATTGGAACCCAAGCAGGCTGACTCAAGAGCTTCTTCTCTTAACCACCTTATAATAACCTTTGGAAACTTTGCTGTTGACCTGTGGATCATAGGAGTAGAACATCAGAGGTAGAAAAGATCTGAGAGGCTGTCTAGCCACATGGAGCCAGACAGACTTTAAATCCTGGGTAGAGCTGCCTCTCACGTCCTGTGTGACCTCAGGCAGCTGTGGCCCCTCTGTTTCCCCATCTTTAAGTTGGGTATCTCACAGGTTGATTGTAAGGGTTAGAGGCGATACTTAATGTATTGTCTGATACATGATAAACGTGCCATAAGAAATAGCAATTCGGCTCGGCACCTGTAGCTCAGTGAGTAGGGTGCCGGCCACATACACCCAGGCTGGTGGGTTTGAGCCTGGCCCAGGCCTGCTAAAATAATGACAATTGCAACCAAAAAAGAGCCAGGCATTGTGGTGGACGCCTGTAGTCCCAGCTACCTGGGAAGCTGAGGCAAGAGAATTGCTTAAGCCCAAGAGTTGGAGGTTGCTGTGAGCTGTGATGCTACAGCACTCTACCAAAGGCAACATAGTGAAACCCTGGCTCAAAAAAAAAAAAAAAAAGAAAAAGAAAGAGCAGCTAACAGGCAGCACCTGTGGCTCTGCAGGTAGGATGCCAGTGAGCTACACTGAGGTTGGCCAGTTCAAACCTGGCCCAGACCAGCTAAAACAACAGTGACAACGGCAACAAAAAAGAAATAGTAAGGCATTAATGCGGCCGCCTATAATCCCAGCTACTTGGGAGGCTGAGGCAAGAGAATGGCTTAAGCCCAGGAGTTTGAGGTTGCTGTGAAATGTGACTCCATGGTGCTCTACCCAGACAGCTTGAGATTCTGTCTCAAAAAACTAAAAAAGAGCTAGCAGCTATTGTTATTTATAAGCAAAGAGAGGCCCTAGGAGTCTAGTCTCTGCACGAGAAGTGACCATGTCATGCTGTCTGACTCCAGAGTCCTGGCTGGGGTAGTCTTCCACCTGCTCCTCCAGTGCCATGCGCAGGTGGACAGCTCAGTTGATAGGTGTGTGCTCTGGACCAGGGTGGGGAGAAGGGCTGTTCCCCAGCACAGGGTGCACTGGGCGCCCAGACCACTACACAGAGGGTCTGCCCTGGGTAGCCACGCCTTGGGTGGAATCCCCTGGGATGCAGAGCTGGCTGGCCTCCAGCA